TAATCACTAAAATTAAATATTCATACACAATGTTATTTGTATTCACTATAATCACATTGTATTATGGTATAATAGATGTAAACAATTTCTATATATTTCTTCTCCTCCATCACCAAAATTTTTGGTTTCTTCAATTCTAAGAAACTAAGTTAAGAGACTACAAATGAATGACCCATAACTTATTCATTGCATAACAATTAAAATTAAATAATCAAGTTCAATATTGTTTAAATTCATCATATTCACATTGACTTATGGTATATTCAATCTAAAAATATTCAATATTTTTCTTCACCATCTCAAAGTTTTAGGTTTTTCATCACAAAGCAAAAAATATAATAGACTATACTAGATATAAAAAATTAATTATATTTTATTTTTCTTCTCCATCACAAAATTTTAGTTTTTTCCCCACTAAAAAACAAAGTTAGAAGACTATAATCCATGACATATAATTTTTATAAAATAGCTAATAATTAAAATAAATAATCAAGCTAGAATTTATTTATATTTACCATTTTCACATTGAATTATGGTAAATTAGATGTAAATATATTCAATATGTTTCTTCTCCATCACCGAATTTCATGTTTCTTCGTCACTAAGCCACGGAGTTAAAAGACTATAAATGAATGACAAATAAATTATATATACATGAGTAATCACTAAAATTAAATATTTAAGCTCAATGTATTTGTCTTCAATATAATCACATTGAATTACGGTATTATAGATGTAAACAATTTCTATACATTTCTTCTTCTTCACCACCAAAGTTTTGGTTTTTCATCTCTAAGAAACTAAGTTAAGAGACTACAAATGAATGACCCATAATTTATACATATGGTTAACAATTAAAATTAAATAATTAAGCTCAATATTATTTATATTCATCGTATTCACATTGACTTATGGTATATTACATATAAAAATATTCAATATTTTTCTTCAACATCCAAAAGTTTTAATTTTTTTTATCCCTAAGAAAAAAAAATAATAGACTATAGTAGATGTAAAAAATTATTTATATTTTATTTTTCTTCTCCATCACAAAATGCTAGGTTTTTCCCCACTAAAACACAAAGTTAAAAGACTATAATCCATGACATATATTCTTTATAACATAGGTAATAATTAAAATAAATAATCAAGCTAGAATTTGTTTATATTTACCATTTTCACATTGAATTATGGTAAATTAGATGTAAATATATTCAATATATTTCTTCTTCATCACCGAATTTCATGTTTCTTTGTCAATAAGCCACAGAGTTAAAAGACTATTAATGAATGACAAATAAATTATAAATATATGGGTAATCACTAATATTAAATATTTAAGCTCAATGTTATTTGTATTCACTATAATTACATTGTATTATGGTATAATAGATGTAAACAATTTCTATATATATCTTCTCCTCCATCACCAAAATTTGGTTTCTTCACCTCTAAGAAACTAAGTTAAGAGACTACAAATGAATGACCCATAATGTATACATATGCATAACAATTAAAGTTAAATAATCAAGTTCAATATTGTTTAAATTCATTGTATTCACATTGATTTATGGTAAATTACATCTAAAAAGCTTCAATATTTTCCTTCATTATCCCAAAGTTTTAGGGTTTTTTAACACTAAGCAAAAAACATAATAGAGTATAGTAGATGTAAAAAATTACTTATATTTTATTTTTCTACTCCATCACAAAATTTTAGCTTTTTTCCCACTAAAAAACAAAGTTAAAAGACTATAATCCATGACATATATTTTTTATAAAATAGGTAATATTTAAAATAAATAATCAAGATAGAATTTATTTATATTTACTAGTTTCACATTGAATTATGGTAAATTAGCTGTAAATATATTCAATATGTTTCTTCTCTATCACCGAATTTCATGTTTCTTCGTCATTAAGTCATCCTATGTAGAAATTTTTGCCATTGACAATCTGTCAACAAATGATTGGCGAAAATCAATTTTTGATTTTTTGGAAAATCCAACAGGGGTGATAGTTAGAAAAGTTAAATACAAGGCATTAAGTTATGTGATTATTAGGATCTGATTGTTTAAAAAGACTCTTGATGAAATCTTGCTTAAATGCCTTTGAGAGAGTGAAGCTTATTTTACAACTTTTGTTGTCCCTAATGAGTCATGTGGCACTCATTTAGCAGTCCACAAAATGAAATGGCTTTTACTGGTCGAGTTTGCTTCAAATTCAAGAATCAAATTTTTTATGTTTACTCCTTGTTTTGCTAAAGAAAATGACTACGTCAAAGCAGCTAATAAAATTATAATTGGCCTGATTAAAAAACATGTTGTTTAAAAGCCAAGAAATTGGCATAAAACTTTAGACCAGATCTTGTGGGCTCGTCGAAATTCCGCTAAAAAAGAAACTAATACGACTCTATTTCGATTAACATTTAATCATGATGTAGTTTTACCTATCAAAAATTATTTTCAATCAACTATAATTCAAAGGCAAGTTGAAATTTCTTATGACCTTTATTGGAATATGATTCTAGATGAGTTTGTTGATTTAGATGAGGAAAGATTAGCTGCTTTGAATGTTCTTATAACAAAAAAGGAACGAATAGCTAAGGCCTGCAATAAAAATGTTACATCGAAAGTCTTTATAATTTGTGATCATGTTTGGAAAATTATTTTGCATGTGGGTCGAAAAGATAGAACTTTATGTAAATGATCCCTAAATTGAGAAGACGCGTTTCGAATCATTCATATGTTTTCAAATAATTCCTATAAAGTTAAAGAGTTAGGCCTTGAATATCGAACTCTTAAAATAAATGGTAAGTACTTACAAAAGTACAAACCTATATTGCAGGAGATTCAGATAATAGAAGAATAATACATTGGAAATAAAAGTATTGAAATGGAATTACATTTAAAGTGCCAAAAATAGCTAATTATCATGCTACATTTACACAAATAGAAAACAAGAAGTCGAAAATTTAGAAGGGAAATTCAGCCTTGATATTTTCAAAGCGCTTCTTTGCAAGCTTAACCCTTGTATCATTCATGCAGTTTTCAGATTTTAGGGTTTTGACCTCTTCATCCAACATATAAGAGGCATCCACATACTGAAAACTAATGTTGGCTTCTTGAACTAACTCTTCTTCAAAAGAGGCTAGTTTAGAGTTTTCGATTTCAGTATTCTTTCAATAGACACAAATATAAAATGAATTGTTTAAAATTTGATATATAAAAAAATAAGGTTAAGTATACTTTACTCCTTGCAATGTAAGCGAATTTCGATTTATCTCTTGTAAAAAAAATTGGATTACCCATTATATGTTTAGATTATGTTTCTTTAACCCCTTTAGTGATATGTCACATGTGGAATCTTCAAATTTGCTAACAATTCATGTGACAATTTATTTATTTTTATTTATTTTTTAAAACTCACTTGGATTTTTTATTCTTATTTTTCAATTTTATTTTTATTTTTAAAAGAAAATTTTTATATTTTTTTTACATGAGGTAGATCGAAATCGGACTGGTCATCGAACCGGTAAGGGTATTGGGCCACTGGTTCATTGGCCGAACCACTGGTTACTGGTCGAACCGCATGACTAAATCGGATAAAATCAAAAAACTCAGTTGAATAAATTATTACTATAGCAAAATTATATAGGTATTGAACCGGTTGATTCAGATGACTCGGTGTCTAAAAAACATCACTAACACTTAAAAAATTTAAAAATATCATAATTTCACAAGTAAATAATTTAAATTCAAATTTGAGTCAGGTAATTAACTTAAAAATTTAATCAAAGTATCAATCTCAAATATAAATTTATGTTTGTTGTCTATCAAATATGTATTATATTTAGCTTTTGCAATACCTCAACCCACTAATAGAAACCAATGATATCAATCACATTAGAGAGAAAGTTGAGTATGTTCAAATTCTACAACCTATTAATGTCATAATACTACAATAAACTCTATTTACTATATTTAACATTATTGTCACCAATTTTTAAAGGAAATAATATCAATTTTCTCTTATACTTTTATTTTTTAAAATAATAAAAAAAACGACGTCGTTTTAATTTTTTTGTAAGTATTTAAATCGTCAATTTTTTTATTTTTATCAGTCCTCATCGACTCAATTACATACCCAATCCAACAATTGAATCAAACTGAACCGACCAATCAGTCCAATTTTTAAGACTATAATTGCATGGAATAACGTGTATTTAACACATAAAATTTATAAAAGAACGAAAAAAAGTTTAAATAATTAAAATAGAAATTAAAAAACCACATGAATTTTAAAAAATAAAAAATAATCAAATAAAATGCCACATAACCTACCAAATCAACAAATAACCTACCAAATCAACAAATAAGAAGATTTCATAGATGTTACTTTCACAAAACGACTAAAGAAAGCTCACATGATGTAAAGTATATTTAAGCCAAAAATATATAATAGGATAACAAAATTAAAAAAAAAAATACTTAATAGACATAAAATTAAAAAATTATAAAAAAAATAAAATAATTATAATCTATATTAAATAACAAAAATACGCAAAATAATTTAAAGGGTTAAAACAATTATAATAAATGGATGAAAACGGCGAAGAAAATGAATAGTTTTAAAATATTAAAATAAAACTAAATCCTCTCATAACTTTTAAACCAAACACATTTAATTACAAATATTTACTCTCCTCTCCTCCATTTACCCTGAATAAACACATCCTAAATAAGTGGCTCCATAAAATTCAGCTTGGAATTGCTTTCATGTTTCCAGAGCAATCAAACTGATACACCAAAGATTTCCATTTGAATTTTCCTTCCCAACATAAAATTAAATTTAAAAAAATTCCCCTAGGAGGGTAACCTGTTGAACATAATTTAAAACTTTTCACATCTCAAGAGAAAAATATCAATAAGAGCCCTGCAGTACAACTTTTGATGAATTAAGCACTTTTTTCCCTTCAAAAATGTTCTCATGAAACCACCTCAAGAAGCTTTTCCGCTTTGATTCTGGCTTGTTGGATTCTGAAGAGAAGAATTTGGATTTGCCACTGAACCCTTACTTTCTTCGCCTAATACCGACTTTGAATTATCCTTTTCTCCACTAGTGTTCATTGGTGCAGAACTATTTAGGGGTTCTTTCTCATCACCAGTTATCTGATTTGCTTCTGTGTTACTGCGTGATTGTTTCTTTGTTACAACAGCAATCTCCTTTACAGTCTCTTCAAGTTTGTCAAGTCTTTCATTCACCTCTGACAGCAGGGGATTTGCTTCCTTTTCCTCAGGAGGATTTAGCTCCAATTCTTTTTCTCTTTCCTTTGCTTCTTCTTCTTCCTTCTTCTTCCTTTTTTGCTCCACTTCCTGTGAATTAATTTGGCGAAAGGTCATAATCAAGAGGGAAAATCAACACCAGAAGACGACAGTATTCTTCGTCCAAGTATTCTAGCACATACGAGGTCAAATGGATATTCAAAAGTTACCAGCACGAAAAGAAATATAATCCAAGACATAACATATTCCTAATAAATGGCATTAGTAGACAAGTGGCGCCCCATATATCTCGAGTTCAGTAACTACACCGACAATGTAAATAGGTTTCGTACAAAAGTTCAATTAGATTTCACTATTTTATCATAATGTTTTGTTATTAAACTTGTGTAATATCTCATTAATTCTCAGCATTCAATTCCTTGGTGCTGCGACAACAAATAACCGCACAACACATGAACTACAAAGCATCTAGAAAATGATTAATTCACAACTGGTATCTAGACTGGAAAATGAATAGAATCAGATACATTGGATATTCTAACAAACTTATGTTGCACTGAAGTTACAAATCTAAAGAGTTCCATGAACAGGACATTAAGATGGATACCTGAATTGATATGGTTCAACGCGAAGAGACATAAGTGATAAGAAAAGATGATCTAGATATCATATTGAACTATGCATCAAACCAACATTTCTATAATGCACACAACAACAAAAAAACACTTATATTACTACTATTACAAAGGAAAGCGAAACATACCGCTTCCATTGTTCTTATTTCATAACGAGCATACTGCGCCACCAAATATACAGCTGCATCAGTAAAGGAAAAAATGTTTGTAGCTAGATGTTAGTAGTAGATTTTTGAGAAAATACTACAAGTAATAATAAATTCAAGTACAGTGAATGGAGAAAAACATCAAATATGCTAATCGTACCCAAGGAAGGCATGCAGGCAAAAAAGAATTGCACAAGATGGAAATCAAACCTGATCAAGAAAGACAGAGATGCAAAGTAAGAATTCCTATTTATATTTTTTGGCTATCTATAAGCATAAACATTGTAACCAAATATAGGATGGTTATATAATCATAAATATTAAAGTAAGAGTTGAAGATTGTGGATGTAATGAAGATGTTCGACAAAACGCAAGAGAGATTAGAAGAGGGATAAATACCCAAACTTTCTCTTCTTTGGGGGATCAGTGAAAAGGATCTTGATGGCAGTCATCATGTCGAGATTTTCGAGCTGCCGATACCTTTCATCAGTGATGATGTCCTTGCAGTTGTTGTTACTGTTCTTTGTCGAAGTACAAAAGGAACTTCTCTGAGCAGATTTGTTGCATAATGATGTTGGAAAAAGCTTGAATTGCACAACGAAGCGCAACCCCCTTGCTCTACTGCCTAACATCCTCCTTTCACACTAAAAGTTCCAGCTTATTTTTATCATTTCACTAGGGCAATGTTGTTAAACCTGGACCAGTCATCGGATCGATCAAAACAAAAACATTGGGTCAGTAAATCATAGGTCAAAGCAATGGATCCAAACAATTCTTACAAAAAAATATTTATCTATAAAAAGTCATACCATACCTTCAAAATAAAAAATCACAATACAAATTAACATGATTACAAAAACTAATTCTTCAACTTCAAAACCATGATCATGACATAAGTACATAGCAGAACAAACAGCAAATGGAATTTTCACATATCAAAAGCTCACAAATAAATTATAAACAGAAATAAATTTGTATATCAGTTGTAAAAAATGACCTCTCCAGTGGTGACTCTGTTCAATGTCACACAAAGCACCGACACTTCTGATTACCTTCTCTTATTCATTTTTTCAAATTATTACCGGTGTGAATGTGTGTGTTCATGCTTCATAGTGATTGAAAGACAGTTCAACCAAAAAAATATTAATGCATATGCATTTTGCATATCAATTGTATAACAGTGACACCCACGTGCATATACATTTTGCATAGGTAGGATTTAAGAGGAAATTTGAAATTGGAGATTCCATCAATTAAACCAATCATTTAACAAAACAGATTAGGATTCATTCATAACTCCATAGTTTTCTTAAGAGCTAATTGAGAAAATTGAAAGGGTTGATAAGAAGAAGAAAACACACCGACGGATGAACAACAAAGAGGCGGCAGAAGCTTGAACTCCGGCGTTGGTCGTGAGCGGCGGTGTTGTGTGGTAGTTCTCGGTGAAGGCGCTGATATGATTGAGCGGCGCCGGCAGGACGCAGTGGTGGAGATGAGATGGCGGCTCGATTTGAGAAATTAACGGAATATGAGACCGGAGACTTGTTGGAGAGAGAATCTTTGGGGTTAGATAAGTAAAACTAAATAGTTATGGGTAATATATGCCATTTTAAATTTTATTTAATTTTGGTTTTGGTGCAAATCATTCCTTTTGAGGTTTTTTTTACTGTTCTACTCTTTTTAAAAAAAAAAAATCTTATAATAACCCACTCTGAATGGACGAGAATGTGCAGCAAAAAATGAGTCTGTGTGAGTTCGTCCACTGAAAGGACGAGTTTGTGAAATGTAAAATGGTCATGTGTGAGCTCGTCCACGGAATGGACGAGCGTGTGAAGAATTCCATTTTTTTTCTTTCTGATTTTAATTATTTAGTGATAAATATTAATGTTAATAATTTTTTAATATTAATAATGATAAATGTTAATATCAATATCTAATATTTATCATTATTAACATTAAAAAATTATTAACATTAATATTTATCATTAAATAATTAAAATCAGAAAGGAAAAAAATGGAATTCTTCACACGCTCATCCATTCAGTGGACGAGCTCACACATGGTCATTTTGCACTTCACAAGCTCGCCCTTTCAGTGGACGAACTCACACAGGCTCATTTTTTGTTGCACATTCTCGTCCATTCAGTGGACGAGCTTCTACTGAAGTGGGGTAATCTAGTAAATAATTTTCAGAGTGGTTTATTATAGAATTTTTTTTTTCAAAACAGAGTAGAACAGTGAAAAAGTCTCCTTTCGACCCTTTTACGTTTTTTTAATACCAAATAAAAATTAAAAAAGTGAATCAACATGCAACAAGAAAAAAGAGAAAACAATCACCAATAGCAAGAAACAGAAAACGAAAAAAAGACCTCGCAACACCACCCACGATAATACATCAATCAATGAAGATTAAGTTAGACTCCAAATGCCAAAATCAGCATCAAGTGACATTCAATAAGGAAATAAATCAAAAATCTCAATTCGCCATGAAATCAGACACAAGATAGGATTCTAAAGATAGAATTCTGAAGCCAAATATTAAAGAAGAAAGAGGTTTAGGAGATTTATTACAAAACCAACTCCACACCAAGAAAATACTTTTATCTTTTATCTCTTTCATAGTTATTGACACATTAGTACATAATTTATTATTACGAACATATCAGATAGTTTACACTAGAAAATGTCAAATCATAATAAACATATCCTTGAATTTAGACTTAGGACCTAAAGAGAGAAAAAAAACTTAAAATCAATCCTAACATTCTTGGAAAGAGCCAACTACACCCCTAACCACCTAAAAATTTTATACTAGACACTAGAAATCACACAATAAGTTACGAACAGATGAGAGGCTGACTTTATCTGACCCTCATACAAGGTACAAGAGATCTCCTCTTGATCAATGATGACCTTCCACTTGAATAAGTTTTCTTTTTACGGAAACCTATTACGCAAAAGTTTCCAAGACAAAACCACCACTTTAGAATGGCCCAACTATCCCAAATCGCGAGAAGAGAATGGAACTAAATAACAATATTTTCTCCAGAGATAGAAGCACAATTATCTTGGACTTGATAGGCAGACACAACAGAGAATGATCCCTTTTTAGTATGCCTTCAAACACATATGTCAGCCTCTTCACTAAAGTTAAACTCTTGGATAGGCGAGAAAAACTTAGCAACCAAAGGTTTTTCATGAACATAAAACGAATGCATCCACCTAAGATCCTGAATCTTAAGGGGAATATCACATAATCAAGGATCTCCCCAAAAGGAGGTCAAGAGACCATACTCAACCTTCTTAGTCAAGCCCAACTCGAACCAATTCAGGGATGATTTTTCTTTGCTCCAAGCAGGGACACTCCTCTCCACCAAAGGGATAAGGTACGAAAATGCGAGGAACTAGCCCCACTCAAGGAGAAGACAATGACAACACCATAACATGCAAAAAGGATATCAAACCAAATACCATTAGAACCCGTCAGGAATCTCTATCTCCACTTAGCGAGGAATGTTAGATTAACTAGTCAAAGATCTTTAACACCTAGCCCCTCAAACTTCTTAGACTTACAAACCTTGGACCACCTAACCCAGGGAGTTTTAGACATCTCTTTCACGTCTCCCCAAATAACTCTCCTTTAGATCCTAACTAGTTTTTTACACACTTTCACAAGCATCTTGATAAAGGAGAGAAAGAATAATGGAATAACATTAAACATAAAGTTGAAGAGGATAACTTTGTCTCCTAAGCTAACATACCTATGAGACCAATAATTAAGTATCTTCTGGACCAGATTTAACAAAGGTCCCCAAGTTGATTTCAGCCTAGGATTAGCTCCAACTGGCAACCCTGGATAGCGAAACAAAAGAGACTCGATATTATAGTGCAAGAAACCCTCAGTGAGCTAGAGAAATGATGGATCAACATTAATCACAATCAAGTTACTCTTATGAAAACTAAACCTAAGAGTCGAGACAAGCTCAAACCCTCTAAGAATAGCCTTAATACTCAACAAAGTATCAACCGATGACTCAGCCAAGGTTAAGGTATCATCAACATACTAGAGATGGTAGACCTCCAAACTAGAAGGGCAAACTCTAAATCCATAGAAGAGACTCAGCTCAAAAGCTCGTTAAATTAACTCGTTAAGGCCTTCAGCCACATGGAGAAAAAGGAAAGGGGCTAAGGAGTCTCCCTACTTCAGCATAACTAGATTATGAGAAAAGATGTAAGATGTGATTCAAGATCCCATTTATTAAAAAAGTCGAATGTGATGAGCATATAATCTAAGAAGTTCTAGCTCACCAAATCATACAGTTTATCAACTTTAAAATAAGACATTATCTTTAAGGAAGGATGACTGGTCAAAACTAATTAACTTATTCATCACCGCTTCTAACCTCTGAGTAAACATTTTTCTACCAAGTTATAAAGTGATCCAACCAAGGATATAGGTCTAAAATCACCCAAAGAAGAGGGATTCTTAATCTTAGGGGTAAGAGACACACAAAAAAAGAGGAAACGCTATGGGGAAAGATGTAAAACGATGAAACTCTTCAAACATAATCCCCAGATCCGTCCTTAGAAGATTCCAAAAACTTTTATAAAATAAAAATATAAAACCATCAGGCCCCAGACTCTTATTCCCATCAAATTGAAATATCACCCTGAAAACATCCTCAAGAAGGAAAGGAGGCGTCAGAGCCAAATTATCCTCGATAGATAGAGACTTGAAAGCCACCCCATCAAATCCAAGGCGGAGAAATTTCGGTTCGTTAAATCTTTTAGAAAAATAAGAAAAAAAACTCATGTTGGATCTTAATCACTCCCCTAATCCAATCATCACCTTTCTTAAGACCTATAATAGAATTTATTTTACTCTTACACTTAATCGAGTCATGAAAAAAACTCGTGTTGGCATCCCCTCTTTAAGCCATGTGGCTTAACTCTTTGGGATAATTTGGACTCTTTCATCTTAAGAATAGACCAAAGGTCACCAATGGCTTTAGATCTGGTCTTCACTTCCTCCACATAAAGAGGACTATGATCAATCAACAAATCCAAACTACCCATTACTTCCTTGAGAGAGAGTAAATTAGGGAATCTAAATCTCCAAACACAATCATGTTCCAACTTTTAAGCATGGCCTTAAGGGTTCGAAGCTTACCCATAAGGGTGAAAGCCTTTTAATCCTTGCCGGAAAAGGTTAGCTAGGAATTGAGGACTAGGTCAGGGAACTCAGGATGGAACAACCAATAACTATTGAATCGAAAAATGTTTTGTACCTCATAATTAATGATCATACATAAAAATGATAGGATAATGATTTTACACGTCTCTAGGAAACGCCCATTGAGCGGCAGTCCCTCAAATATTCCACCAACCATCAAAATTATGAAAAGATATAACAAATAAATTTTAGCGATGAAGGATCGGAAAGCAACACCTTCAACAATACGAGAAGGTGTTGAGGTACCATCACTAATTCTTCGCTCATTAGGTGATATAGTAGAATTAAAATCACTTAGCACACACAAGACACCACCACCAAGAATGAACTTATGAGATTAAAGGTCTTCCCACATAATCCTCTTATAAACTAACAAGGGCTTAAAGTACATGTTAACTA